GTATGTATGTATGTATGTATGTATGTATGTATGTATGTATGTATGTATGTATGTATATATATATATATATATATGTGTGTGTGTGTATCTATATATGCATATGTATATAGATTATATATATATATGTGTGTGTGTGCGTGTGTGTGTGTGTGTGTGTGTGTGTGTCTGTTGTGTGTGTGTGTATGTATGTAATATATATATATATATATATATATATATATATGCACAGCTGACAACCAGTATATGTGTTTTTGTGTACTGTTACGCTTATCATGCTGCATGGGCAGTTTAATTACACGTTGCTCTACCATAAGACCATGCATTCTTCCCTGTGAGGTCTATGCTATTCTAGCGTTCACAACCAGACGGACATCACCTGGGTTTCCTGGCCAGTTCGGTACCATACACCTTGTTGGAAATATCTGTATCACCTTATCCTGCTTGGGCTGGCACAGAGAGGGCCCTTATATTCCCTACCAGTCAGCCAGTTCTACCTTCGTCGGGTATCTTATTTGATATCGGCTGCTCGTGGTTCATGTATGCACGTGCGCTGCTTGTTTAAGCGTGTTCTAAATAACACGCTTGTTCTCCACACCGGGATTTGAAACTTCCAAAAACTTCTATAGAGGAAAATGGACATGGAGGGTTCCTTATTTGTCTACCGCAGGTATGCGAATCCCAACATATTTTTGGCCTTTATTCTCTGATTCACTGTATGATTGCGCCATCTCAACATTCTTTTGGCTTTTATCTGTTTTTTTTTTTCGGTGGAATTGCACGACTGGGGCTGTGTTGTCATCGGTGCTTTATGCGTTATCCGAAGGATTACCCGAGGAAGGCTTGAGGCATCGATCTAACAACACACTCCCAGGCATACTGTAGTCAATGTTGTTGTGTGTTTCTATTGTTGGGTGTTTCTGGAGTGTTCCTGGAGAACGGCCTCCTGTGGCACTGCAGTTCTATCTCCATCGCTGGCAGCAAAACACCTTTTTCGACGCCACTGTATTGACAAACGCCCTCATACTTAGATCTGCGGCGCCGAAGTTCGGGTTCTTTCTCATGAATCGCATGGGAATGGAAAATATAAACGAACTCATCACGCCGCTTATGAAGATCAAGGTATGGCGTGTTAACGTTTTGGGCAGATCACTGGCTGGGGTGCGGAGAGGCATGGTGAATGCGTACGATCGATTGCACGCCCAAAGCACTACCGTTGTGTATTGTGTGCAATTGCGTGGTACGTTTGGTCTGAGGGATAGTCACATGTACACCATAGAGTATGCCCCTGTCCAGCCTATAGTAGGTATTGTTTGAGTCAACGTATTCGAATCCAATCCTATATAGAAACAGAGTAGCCGTACTAGCCCCTGTCTTTGTATACACATGTATACTCCCTCTGACATCCTTCGCACTCTCCCGCCATCTCACCTACAGGTAGAACCTCCCTATCTCATGTACCGGAATGAAAGCGGTTCGATCATGGGTATCTGGTTCTACAACGAGCACGATCACATCTCCATCTCCGAGTGCTTGATGAGGTGTGTGTACTACCATAGCTCTGTGGCATTGGGGTTGGGGGGTGGGGGGGGTCTACTGGGGGGTGTACTGTTGCTGTCAATGGGTGAGGCATAGGCAACTGTCTGGGCTAGGAGACGGGGCTTACTACTGTGTGGGGGGGGTATAGATATGGGTGGAGAGACGGAGATAGTGCCACCAGGGCCTATGTATAGGTGTTAGTATGAATGGTCCGGATGGCCTGGGAGAGGGGTTTGTTTCTTCGTGTCCAACTGAGTCTGTGGGATTACTTGCCTGTTTGGTGTGCGCGTGTGCGCGTGTACGCCCAGTGGTGCCCAGAGGCGGCAAGTGCGCTATCACATATATTTATGATAGCACCCTTAGTTTTGCTTAGCCTAGCTTGGCTTGGCTTGGCTTGGCTTGTTTTGTTGCGTAGGGACAATCGGTGGGGTTGGAGATAGTGTGGTGTTGGATGATGTGCTATGGGTTGGTGGTGCTGAGTTTGTTGCGTAGGGACAATCGGTGGGGTTAGAGCTACTGTGGTATTGGAGGATGTGCTATGGCATGAGTTGGTGGTGCTGAGTGTGTTTGCGTAGTAGGACAATCGGTGGGGTTGGAGATAGTGTGGTATTGGATGATGTGCTGTGGCATGGGTTGGTGGTGCTGAGTGCGCCAATGGTGTGTGGTGTGGCACTTGCATGTCAATTGTTATGGATAGTGTGATGTTTTGAGGTGGTTGCTACCTCGTTCTACCGAGCTGTAAAGCAACGTGTTCGCGAATACTTCCAGTACATTGTGGTCTGAAACACTCCGCTATACTGGTTTTATATACCCTGGCCCCTAACTCTACAACCCCCCTAAAACCCTATACTGGACTATTAACGAGTACGGCATGGTGTGAACACTTCCAGTACATTGTAGTCTGAAACACTTCGTTACACTGGTTGTATAAACCCTAGCCCCTAACCCTAAACCCCTAACCCTAAACCCCTAAGCCCCTATACTGGACTATCAGGAGTACGGTATGGTATTGTATTGAATCCGTATCTACGGTATACTGCGGTGTTGTCCTTATCAGCACTATTAGACAAAGGGATACGCTGTGGTATTGGATGGTCTCATAGTGTGTTGTATTTGATAAGCCCAACTCACGGCGCGATCAACTACTTCGTTATTTAGCAGAGCTGGGGGACCTTTCCATGTACTGAGGTACTGGGTGGGCCGCTATCGTTGAACACTATACTATACTTCATCAGCACCGCACTATAACCCTAAACCCCTAAACCCCTAAACCCCACGCCGAAACTCTGTACCTGCACCCCGCAGCGCCTACAACGAAGACGACCCTGAGAACCCGTCAGTCAACCGAAACTGGGCAACCAATCAGAACGCTCCAAATACCGCCGGTCAGTCTGGTGCCACGGGTCAGAATCTGTTGGAGATGCTGAGCCAGTCCCAAACAGAAAGCACCAATCAGCAACTAGAGAAACCCTCTATGTTTCCACAGGTATTGGACGTTGGGTGAATTACGAGTATGCGATATGTTTTGTCAAGCGCTGAAGCAGTGGGTGTTCGATCTATAGAAATCCTAGGAGGATG